ATTGAAACAAGAACGTTATCATCAACAATAATGAATCATTGTAGAGAGCTTACTATATGCCAAGCTCTGAGCCAAGCCTTACATGCTATATCTCATTTATTAATAATAAACACAGCAACTCTGTGAGTTCAGTATTAACATCCATCCCATTCTCCAGAAGAGAACTGAGGCTTAGAAAGGAGAGGCGACTTGCCTGAGTTTACCACCAGCAAGGAACATTTGAGCCCAGGCCTGTCTGATGTCACAGGCAAAGCCCTTTGCCAAAATGATATGATGCCCACCAACAGCTGCCTGAGCTGTGACTTCCTTTGAAAGGGCCCCCCAATTTGTCGACTTGGTTTGTGCTACAAGACCAAAATCACTCTAACTGCCCTCCAAAGAGAGCCTATGTCAGCTTTGTGGAAGTGGAAACAACCTTCTGAAGCTCTTGAAGGTAACTGTGGACGTTTTAAAGTAGCAAACAACGAGCAGAAGCAAACTGGGTTAGCAGAGAAGGCACTGGCTTCGTATCCCAGTCTGTCTCTTAGTAACTGTGCAACCTCAGGACATTTGCTCTGCCTCTCTTAGCCTCAATAAAGCATGGGTAAAAATAACTGTCTAGGAGCTAGTATTGGTCAGTTGGTCAGTACAATTCCATAAATTAGTTACCTTTCCCCTAAAACTGTTCTACTGAATACATTGTTCTATGGAAAGGCAATTGGTCACAACGCCTAAACAGAGAATGAATGAATGAATGCTGATCACTTCCTTAGTGAAAATCCAAAGTCTAAAAATGTTATAAAGCAATTTTCAAAAAATTACGGCAAGCTATGTATATGCGCATATATGAAGTGCAGCATTTCTCTGAACACATCTGGATCAATCTCTTTCTCTCTCTCTCTCTCTCTCTCTCTTTCTCTCTTTCTCTCTCTCTCTCTCTCTCTCTCTCTCTCACACACACACACACACACACACACACACACACACACGAATTGAATCCTGATGCAACTTATCTCCCTCATTCCCAAACATGTGCCTAACACTTGTTCAGATAATAGATCTCTATTCTCTAGCCAGTTAATTTGAACAGTAAAAAAACATGAGGATTTTATAGAGATAAGGCACCCCAGAGAATCGAAGACGCTGGTAGCTACTTGTTTAGTGATGGAGGATTTTTGTGATTAAAAAGTAGAAGACAGCAGACAAAGTCGCCTCTGTTTTCACTACTTGCTTGGCTCCAAGATAGGTGGAGCCCCGCTTCTTGTAACACCAAATTTCACGTTGCTTTTTATGAGCAGAGGGTCCATTTCTACATTGCACCTCTGGATTTAAAAGAGGAAATTTAAACCTCGGAATAATGTTTTTTGCTGAACAAAATGTCTGCCAAACTAAGCTCTGACTGACTTCTGGTTTTCTGAGTCCTGGCCTCCAAAGTTCTCTCAGGTTTCCAGCGCTAGGCCGAACTCACTGGCTTCTGCCATCTCCCTCTCTGCTCCCTTTAGGCGGAAAGGGGTGAGAAGGAGAGGTACCACTTCTCACGCCCGTCTGGTGGCTTGGGGAGGCCCAAAAGATCCCGAGAATTGCTTTAGACTCATTATCTGGGTGTGGCTGGCCCCTATCAGCTGCACCTCCCAGATGGCACTAGCGTGTTTTCCTAGGCATTATGGGAAAAGTAATTCTAGCAAGAAGAGGGGGAAAGTCACACAAAACAGCAGTCAGTCTGGGCCTTCCTTCCTTAGCCCCTGACACGACCATTTTGTAAGGTGGTGAAAAGTCATGCTTTGCTTTCTAACTAAACAATACAGCACTGGCATTTTTAACTTTAACTGCCTACCCCGGTTCCCCAGATTTCAGGCCAGGGGTTCAACTTCTCACCTTCCCCTTTGAACAGATGAACCGAAGCTTTTTGTCCCATACGCTTTAAAACCCTATCCATCACCAGTTAGCAAACAGGTTATTCTTGGACCATGACTGGTTCTGGAAGATGCTCAGGTCTATGCCGGCGACGATAAATGAGAATAAAATGATTCAGTTCTACTTCCCGTGGCCACCGAACCCGCTGTCATCCTCAACATTCCCACAGAAATGAGCTCATTGCACCTCTGAAACATTTCGGAGCTTAAAAGTTTAAATCAGGCCAAGTTGATCTTGCGGGGTTTTCAAGCTTTTGCACTGTAATTATAAGCAGGACTTTCTGCCACCTATTTCCTCCCAACTGTAATATTTTACGTCTTTTTTAAGCATACGTTGAGGTTAGCTTTTTTTTTTTTAATACATGTTATGAAATACGATATGAGCTTATGCTCAGCCTTAGGTACCTTTCTGCCAAAAGGCTGGACCAACATAAACTAAATATGACTATTTTCTTTATCCAAAGTACAGTTTTGACTATTACATACCCGCTTAATGTACATACACAAAACTCGCTCACAACCAAAGCTCCCTGCAGGTCAACTGAAATCATAACGAGATTTTCCTTTCATATAATGTGATTAACAAATGTTCGCTAACCGAACTCCTAAGAGACTCAAAAGAAAAAAACAAAATCACTCAAAGCAACGCCAAACAGTAAAATAACTCAACGAGCTTTCTGTTTTCTGCTTGCTTTTTCACATGTTAACTAAGCAAATAGCCTGTTTCACTAGGCATGTGTCCTAGAGGCCGATGAAACCGAGAGTTCAAGCAACACGTTATTTACTAAAACACGACCTTCACAAGCTACTTAACTCCTCTAGCCTCATTTTCCTCATCTGTAAAATGGGGGTAAAAGCTCTTAAAGGCTTTCTCTGAGGACTAAAGTAATGCAGGTTTAGTTAAGTGCCAGCAAATAAAATGGTTCATAAATATTAGTTAATATTGCTAATATTATCTATCTGTTAAATAGGTCTCTCCTCCGACCTAACTGTAAAAATTCTAAGCAGTCTCATGAGAGTCTGAGGTGCTTTGAAATCCACAGGCTGCAGTGAGTCCCAGGGAAACTTACAAGAGCATACATAAATAGAGAATTAGTCATCCATCGATTCTTACTCAATTGTTTATGAAGTCATTACAAAGGTTTGGGAAGCACTAATGATAATGACAACTTGGGCCCCATAATCCTAAACCCCTACACAAGTGACCATTATGCGTCACTGAGCTAGTGAAAGGGCTCTGAGGCGTCTTCCTAGTACCAATAGAAGTGGGTTGCCTGAGTCCTGATGTCACATGTTTAGGAAGGATTTCTGACAGCTCTGCCTCAAGGCAGATATCTCCGAACGGTACTTAAAGACATAAATGAACTCACTACCCTTCTGCACCTACTCAATACTATTCTGGAATAAATATTATTTTCACTTGAAGTCCAACTGATACATCTTTTTCTCTTTAGAATCACTCTTCCTTGCCTTCACACAGCAGGATTCTAACATCTATCTTATCAGTAAGGCCGTATTTTCAGAGAAAGGCACTATTTTTCACCAGGGTGGCGTGCTGAAGAGGGGGAATTCTGTGTGGAGAATTTCTCATGTTATTTGGGAACAGTTTGCAAACTGTATACTTAAACTTTATAAATAGCAATATTACCGAGGAGAAAAACAATATTTTCAAACAGGCTTAGACCTCCAAGCACATCTAAGTGTTACTCTGTCAGGGGAATGTCCTCTGAAATCTTAAGAGATTACAATAAAATAATTCACTCATACTATAAAGATAAAAGAAATTCAACAGGAAGACTATCTCCCCCCCAACACACACACATACATGCTGCATTTGTAAATATATAACTGAGTCCAAATTGAAACACAAAGCTTCTTTTCAACAGGTCCTTTAGTGAAAGATCATTAATTACATGGCCATTCATAAACACAAAATCTGAAAAGCCCTTCTCACTTAGCTCCCTCTTATGAAGACAGCAATACCTATCTTCTCAGCAAATGCAATGCATTTTCACTTCTGATCCTGTTGATTGCCTTAGTCTTCAGAACCTGATAACCATTTGATACAGGCATTCACCTTCACCCATTTATCATTTCGGAACACATTGACCTCATCCCTTGTCATGAAAGAGTTTGGGTAGTTTAAACCCAGATGGCTTGCTTTCACCTAAACAGTAGAATGCCTTCCCCAGTTCCATACAGCATGTTGATCTGATAACAAACAGTCATCTATCACTTTTGGGCTTTGCATCTGACTGCCTTCATGAATTTCCTACAGGGTTCTGTGGTGTGTAGTTTTTAATCAAGGTTTGCCAAAAGTGATTGGCATGTAAAACTCGCTTAAACAAAAATGTTGCTCTTTGTCAGTCTATATTTCATCTCAGAAGCTCTTATTCCTATAACTTAATCTCCCCCATGTGGTTACTTATTAGATCTTATCATTAACTATTAAGCTAACATAAATTGAAGCAAATTATTTTTTTGCATCTACCCACCACTGCCAGTGTGAACTAAACAGCTGACAGCCAAGTGTCATTCTTTATTGAGGATTGAATGTCCTTCCTGACTCAAGCTTCTAAATCAGAAATACAAAGACTGTTTTTGAGAGTTAAGGCTATAACAGGCAAAAAAAATCCAAGATTACATCTTGTCCTCATGTTTGTCCTTTGTGACTGTCACCTCTCTTTCCCCTTGTCACACACCTTATCCCTGGTAAGATACCTAAATGTTATCTCACCATTTCCACACTAAGCTCTGATGACAGACTCAAGGCAGAAAGTTTGATGGCGCCTACGATTTGGTGGCAACAGCCCTTCCCAGGAACAGACAGTGCAAAAGGTAATTATCATTAAGACCAGGCCACACAAAGGCCATCTTAAATTTACTTCTGTAAAGATGATGCCAAAGATAAGAATTCCCAGCCTGATAAAACAGAAAATCACCAAAGTCCATAAAGCTCAGAAATTCAACTGAATTCAATTCACCAGCTATGTGCAGTTTGGTAATGACTAAAAACAATTTTTAAGATCTGGTTATATCATTACATTTAATGGAGTCACCTTGTCAGAGAAAGCAATTGCCTTCCCACTACCTGCTCTCCATACTTACCAAGCAGACACACATTATACAAGGGTTGTCTGTGATAAATGGAATCTGGAGGACTTCGCCTTCATTTTCACATTTTGCAACAGAACCTAGGGTGAAGGGAAATATATCTAATTTAAACTTAGTGGCATTATTATAAAAATTCAAATTTTTACACTAATCCTTTTTGAAACAACTACCCAAACTTCAGAAATTCCTAATGAGTTTTAAATGATCAAACTCACCAAAAATAAATTCCACCCCCTGGAAAAAAATCTATTTTAAATAGCTTTATTTGAACACATTTTTTTTAAAGGCTGTGATATATACATAGATTTTCTGCTCTCAGATGGTTTAAGCACAATTCCAAGTATTTCATTGCATTTTTAATAATAACCCTCCTTTAGGAAAGCATTTCAACTAAACATACACTCACTCCTACATGCAAAAAAAAAATCAAATTGGCCATTAGGGCAGATTTTAAGTTTGAACAAAATTCAGGACTGTGTCAATGAACAGGCCTTTATATGAATCTGCCTCTTATTGTCTTGAGTTGAGATCACTTTTTGAAACACAATCTTCTTTCCTCTTCTCTTAGAAATTGACTCAATATTTTCTTTTCTGCACCAGGTGTCAGTAAAGTATGTCCTTCAAAATAGCAGCTGAGGTCTTCACCTGCCTGAAAACATATAATTACTATATCCTGCTATTATTACCCTTTTAAAATGTGATCGTTTCTTTAAATTCAAGGTCTGGAGAGCGGGTGCTTTAAAAAGCAATCCTAGCACGGAAGATACATTGGAACCCTATAGAGTCAGAAGGGAGGATGTGTGGAAAGCGGTGCAAATGTTTTGCCTTGATTGTATAGGGAGGAGAAGAGATCAAAATAAGGGTTGAGGAAAATATTAAAAATAAGTAATTTCTCAAATTCAAAAAGAAGAATTTCTAGCACTATATTGATGTCAACATCCTCTCAGCCTTCCGCCCCTTAACCCCACGGGCTTCACTTCATCCCCACCGGCCAGAGAGGGGCAGGCGCCCAGGTGCTCGCTCCGCACCCTCCCATCCCCGGGGCAGGCCGGCGCCTCCTCTCCCAGGTACCAAGCCAGCGTCCCGAAGGGCCGGTCCCTCCCTCCCCCTCCCCTACCTGTCAAGAAGGAGGAAGCCAGAGACATGGGGACCCCCGAGCAATTGAGCAGCAGCAAGACGCAGCAGGTAATCCCAGGCGAGCGCCGGCAGGGACGCTCAGCCAGAGCCCTGACGCCGGAGAACCAGAGCATCGTCACCTGGAGGGAATCCCGGGCGACTGCAGGTCCCGCGCCGCCGCCTCTGCTCCGCTACCGCAGCTCGCAATCAAAAAGGGCTCTCAGCGGGCGAGTCGGGAGACAGTCCGCGAAGGAGGGAGGCGGGCGCCCGGGAGCCGGGGCGGGG